GCCCATTAATAAAAGAGAGCTAAATTAAAGTATTTATTACTTAAATCTTAAACGCGTTTATTTTATTAAAACTTTTAATAAAATCACGTTATTTAAAATATATACTTAACTTATAAAAAATATAAAAAGAATTTAAAAGATAATTAATCTTATATTAAGTAATACTATTTAAAGTATTTAAAGTATAATAAAACGCTTTTATAAAGTAATATTAATATACTTTTTACTTACTTTTAAGATAAAAGAAACTTTTATTATAATTTTAAAAGTTATTAATAAAGCACTTTATAAAGTTAACCTTTTAAAAGTTTTAGCTTTAATTATTATAAGAGTAATATTAAGCTTCTAATACCTCTTTATTTTATTTAGCAGGATACTTACTAATGTTAAATGCGTTTTGAGCCGCTGTAGTCGCCAAATGATTCATTATACCTATCACGGTCGCAATATTTGCAAGTCAACCTTTTCGGGAGGAAATAAAAGCTCCCTCAACTTTGCCAGACCATCCAAGTCTCCTTGCATGGTCCCTGCCAAGTCCTTGGCAACCCAGCCTTTAGTATAACCACCACCAAAATCGACCTATCAATTAACACATTTTCTGCCTTCACGTCTCCCCATGTAATACCGTTCTCGTGTAGTGCAGATAAAGTGAATAAAGAATTTATTAACCTTAAAGTATAGAAATTAATTTAGCGGGATTTTACGAAGTTTAGCTAATATGCGACCGTAGCCAGCCGCTTGGGACCCATCTTTTAGCTAGGAGTGCAAATCGCCGCACGCAAGGACAGGAAAACTTCTCCGGTGTTCCCCACCTAGGTCAACAACTGTAGTGCATGATAGCACTCAGGTTTGTGCGGTAGAAGAGTGCTATATTGAATATGTGCTGGTTGGGCGAGGTTGGGGTTGCTGCATGTGCAACTACGCCAATCCTATCGGATCAAATCAGTGCCGCGGTAATGTGCTAATAAACGAATGGCCATATTACGAAGAAACCTGCCTACATTACGCTTGGCGACGCAGTCGTCGACCTGTTAGAGATGGTGAGGGTCGCAGGCGTCGCCGATGATATGTTAGTGCTGCGCCTATCGGTGCATCGGCTAAGAAGCGCTCTTCTATTAAGCAGAGTCAGTCGCAGACGGGTGTTCTTCCCAAGAGAAGGGCGTTTTACCGACCCGCAGTACCCAACACATTTGTTAGAACAGCTGTCGATTCCAGGCACAAGCCACTGGCACGAGTAATAACGCCTCATCCATCTGCTTCTAGCCTAGTTCATGAATGAATTCATACCGCTGGCAGGTGACGGCACATAAAGGCTGACGAAAGTTGGACACTGAGGTACCTACTATTGGTGTATAAATGGTTTTCTGGCGATATATAATGGCACGGCGTGTAGGTATGACACGGGTCGGATGGGGATGTGAAATAGCGAAGATTGTAAAAGGGTAACTGAGGAGCAGGAGCATAAAGCGTAGGAGTTATTCGCATTAAAACTGCCTTTTACCTCTAAATTCCATCCTGTGAGACAGAAGCAGGGTATATTCCAGCAAAGAGGTGGCGCACGTTTGTGAAGATTAGGTTCGAGGTCCATTGGGACTATCATATGTACCGATGTATTCAATATGTATTGCTTTCCTTGTTCGATAATCATGTTTGAGTCGGGCCTAGACACAAAGACATTCTGTGGAGATGTGCATGAATTATCCACGGTGCTGTACGCATGAGTCAAGTCAGGATTGAGGTGCTTCGTATCGAGCTGCCCTATAAACTTCTCCATGCAGGCTGTTGTAACTGGTGGAAGTGGTGCTCGATGCGAAAGTTATTCTTGTAGGCTTAAAACTTAAAAATACTACTATTATTAGTAAGTTTTTTAGGAATATTACTTGTATATTAATTATTAAATATATACTTAAAAATTACTTATCTTTTAATAACTTATTTAAAAAAAAATCAAAAAAACAGGCTAGATAGAGGGCATCTAGTAACACTGTATTTAGCCGTACCTAGGCTAGAGAACCGTAACTAACCACGCAAAACACCATAAACGCATCGCGATACGTTAGATACCCTAGCCGATTAGTGATTTATCACAGCGCGCGCTGGCGAAGGCTATTGCGAGATAGCCTTAGCCACTAACTGCATGGAGTAAAATATAGTTTATGCCGGTAACTCACACTGCAATAACTTATCTTTTATATTTATTCTTTATAAAAGCTCTAAAACCTTATTTTTTTTTATAATTTAATATAAATTTACTTTAATAATAAATATATAGTAGGAAAATAAGTCTTAAAATCACTTAGTTTATTTCAACTATCTACCTTTAGAATAAGACCCCAGGTATACAGTCAAATAACCTAGAATAACCGGCAGTCACGTTGCCCTAGACTGGTTTTTCCTTATTTTTTGCAGCAGCGGTGGTAAGGAGCACCTACACCGCTGCATTCACCGTTAGACTATGCATTGGTCAGATAATCTAAACCTTGGATATGGGATACTCGGTTGCTACTTGCATTGCAGGAAGTTCCCTTCAGGCAAACTCCGCAGGAGGAAGAGCAGCATTTCCCAGCAGCCACGGGTGTAGCCACGGCGACCATACTGACAACCAGAGTAATAAGGGTAGAAAACTGCATGTTGGATGGATATGAAGTGGTTGTGCTGTTGATAGAATTCGTCTGGATGCTTTATGAATGAAGATGCTGAACTGTGAAATTTGGAGGCCAAAGAGGGTTATATATAGTTTTTCACTTTCAGAAAAATGGGCGTCCTACTTGTCACTTTGGCAAGTTCAGTCCACAGAATTGCTCTCTCCCTTCTGCCCGAACCAAAAGTCATACTAATTTTCCCCTCATCGGATGAAACATGGTGCATGGGAGTTGCATTGTATTACATGGAAGGGGATCCTTTGAAACGAAAGTCGGGCTCAGAACTGCCTGACATCACCCTCCACGGACGGAATATGCTCGATCAAATGAAGCATTTGCCGGTATAACGTCAGCATAAGCAAGTCGCGGTGAAGCATAAACTCGGCGGCATTTTGAACAGCAGTCTTGCTTCGCTTAGCACTGCTCAAACAAATGGTGCTCTTCACATAAACACAGCGTCTATGCTCTAGAAAGACGCACTTGTAAAATGGCAAAGAAGAAAGGCTTTCGAATCAAAACGTCATTGACAAGTAAGAAGGTTAAAACAGTCCAAGTATGAAACGCCTCAAACTCCTAGGCGCTCGAGTTGACCTCCTACTGCATGACATACGTCATGAATATGGACCTTGTTGTAATATCTCCGAGGTTGATCGGCCCCTAAGAGAATGTGTGCAAGGTTCTATTTGGTGGTTTACCACAAACGTGATATCACGGTACAGTTCGTCTGACCACCAATATTGACAAAAGGCCTTGGCTCACATTCTTGACTATTGATTAGAGAACGAGAGGGGGCAACGTAAGACATTCCGTCGATCAGCTGACTGTTCCCGTCATCAATGCCGCGAATGAAAAAGAGCGGCCTCGCGGCCTCGAGGTTGCTGTCCATGTAAAAACCTGCTGCGTGCTTGTTTGCCCGCGCGGGGTCATCGGCGATCCTCCGAAGCTTTCATCACCTTCACTTCTTGAAACGACTCGCGAGTCGCGAATATACTTTGCCCCGTCGTCGTATTGGTCTGTGCTGGCAAGGAAACATTAATCTTGTCCCAACCATGTTTTGAACTGCCTCGCCACCTTGCCACCTTGTCATCACCTCGGGCTGTCGCTCACCTCTGATCAAGACGTTTCTGCACGTGTGCCGAGCGCACGACGACTCGGATATCGGCTCCGACAACTTTTTATTCCCTGCCGAATGCCAAATCTTGTTTTCTAATTGCTTCACAGAGAGACGGAATGACTGCACCAAAGGACCACGGTGCTCGTCAAAGCTTCTGGGGCAAATTTCTCCGCACCCTGATGGGCAAGCTCGAAGAATGGCTGCTCCCCATTCGCATGCGCATCGGCAACAAGATCATGTACGATGAGCAGCGGAAAATTGTTCAAGTGTCGGGCCGGAAATTGATCAAAGGGCCATGTTCGCAGCAGGAATTGGAAGCCATGCAGTATGCCGCCTCACGCACGTCGGTGCCTTTACCCCGTATCCATCGGACATATCAGTTACGCCAAGGATTGTTCATCGCCATGGACTACATTCAGGGTGAATCCCTCGAGGACTTGTGGGCTCGTCTGGCTGATGAGGAGAAGCGGAAAACTGTTGCCCAGTTGTGGGACAGTGTGAAGCAACTTCATGCGTGTCATCCGCCATCTCAGCTTAGTGGCGTTACTGCAGCATCAATTGGGGGGGGACCAGTCCGGGACGGAGCACTCGGTGTGGAAGATGATGGACCATCCGGGCTTGGTCCATTCATCGACTCGAGTGATTTCTTATCCGTCCTCGATGAGAGGACCGACTTTGCAGAGTTCCATCGCCAGCCCGACCGAGTCGGTTTTGTTCATGCAGATATATGCCCGCGGAATATCATCCGAACCGCAGATGGCAAATTGTATCTTATTGACTGGGAGTTTGCCGGATGGTGGCCGTTATGTAAAGAAAAATCCCCCTCTTGCTTTGACCCGGGAAACATGTTGCTAAAGAGCTATGCAGATTGGGAGCGCATGAAGTGGCACTTTGCGGATTTTCCGCCAATGCCGGATTTTATTAGTCTCATGGACGAGTTTTCGGCTGAGGAGTCTGGACAAGCCATCAAATAGCAATGGGGCACCTGACTCGACGCGAAAGGAAGGATAGGCGATGGGGACTCATCAATGGTGTTCACTGAATATGCTAATGGCCGACATTAAACGTTTTCAGAAGTGAGTAGACTTTGGGAATTTAGATACCTCACATGGGGCAGTGACATGATGGCCAGCAGGCTATATGTCGTCAATATACTGTAATGCCGTTTGTGACAAGGGGCAGTGTGACAAACTGTCACTATATTTCTACACAAATGTTGCAAGAAGCGCTCATGATATTGTGAGTTGGCTTGGGAACGAAGAAACCAAAGAACCGGACAAGGTCAGGAAGACTGGTGAATGAATTGAGACCCTGAGGCCGCACGTCATATAGAGGCAGCGTTTGTGAATGATCAAGTCAACTACGAGTCCTCAAGTACGAGCAGAGCCAAATGCGCATGCCCGGTCAAGATTAGTTGTAAAGTACGCATATTCTATATCGAACATGTACATAAAAGGAGAAACACAAATTTGGGAATTCGCCTTCTTTTGTAACATAACTTGCAAAAAGTGAATGCCTTGTTTTTCCAAGCTCTTATTCGTATAGTAGAATTCATCAGGCGGCGGGGTTAGAAGCTCGTAGCCGGGCTGTTGTGTCGGAAGCTTCCAGTTTACAATCTGTTGAATTGCGCGGGACTCTTGAAGCTGTTCGTCCTCCTACCAGGCCCGGTAAGAAGCTCGTTGGGCTTGGTCTCGCCAATAGTCCCGATCAAACGCTAGCTGCACCTGCTGGTCCTGATGCCAGTCTTGAAGCGGCTGGAAGCCTCGCTGCTGGCTTTTATACTAGCACTTGAGACATCTAGCCGTTATAGGTGCTGTCGAAGCTGCCAGGAGGTCTGCGACAGAGGGCTTTTGTTGGATTTGATGCTGCAGCCGGGAGACTCGTGGCAGCTATTGATAGAGGTGGTCGGGTTATCGGAAGCTATCGGCTGGGTCGATTTGCAAGCTTGGTGGATTGAAGCTGCCGCATGAGGCTTAGGAAAAAAGACAGCTTTGATAGGCTGCAAGGTGACTAGGTTGGCGATATCGCCAGATTTGGTAGGTCTAGTTGCAAAGTAGAAGCTAAGGTGATTATGAGGTGCAATTGCTGGAATATCTCATCACCTGGAGGGGACTTTTCGTGTAATATGTGTGCCTGTATTGCTAGCTAATACTAGCTTAGAAGCTCTATAAAAAGGGGCGTTAAAGAATTCTTATTTTCTCTTCAATAAATTAATATCTTAAACACAACTTATATACAAAGCTAAGTCAAGCTAGTTTTTATATAATATTCAAAACGCTGTTAAACTAGAAGATCCATCTTAAAACCCTCACAAGTCCAATCTATTCTGGGCATTCCCCTTGTAGGCATTCCTAAATTCCCTTTATTACGTCTGGTCTAATCGCTACACGGCATACAGGGTCCCCTTAAAAGGTTGTGCCCTTGGTCTGCTTGCCCCGCTGCTCCTCAAGCTTCTTGACATTGATATTCTTCCAAGCATAAATGCAAATGGCGCACAGAGGCATCAGAGCCACGCCAGCAATAACCATGAGCCTCATCACGTCACCGAGAGCAGCAACTATAGCATCCCGCTCCGGCGACCCGTCCGGAAAGGCAATCTGCTGCTCAATGTCGCCAAAGATGGTCATTGACTGGTTCTTGGCCGCCTCTGGCAGATAATCATGCAGCTTCTCGGGAAGCAAATTGTTCCAGATGGCGCCGGCGATGGAAAGGCCAATGGAGGCACCGAAACCTCCAAACATGCCCGACAATGCAATGACGGCGGCAATCTGCTGATGGGTCACGGGCGCCTGGCAAGCCAGAGAGCTGCAGAGAACAAGAACCTCGCTTCCGAGGCCGACCAGGAACTGTGTGAAGACGAGCATGCCGACGGGGGCGTTGGGCTGGCGGAAAGGAATGACGAGTGCCGAGCCGAGAAGCATGATGGGGACGCCGCCATACGCCGTCCACTTGAAGTTGCCCGTGTAGCTGATAAAGAGGGCGACTAGAGGTCCAAACACGACGGAGGTTGTAGAAAAGCTATTGACAATGTATCCTGCATTCTCGGGGCTTTGGCGGTGGACTACGCGGAGGTATGAGTAGAAGTATCCGTTCCAGCAAAAGGTGGACAGAAACATGACACCGTACAGCAGACAGCCGCCGATGATTGTGCCCTGCTTTAGAAACCTAAAGGGAAGAAACTGGACCTTGGCAACCTTGGCCTCCCAGACGTAAAAGGCTGGGAAAAGAAGAACGCCAAGCACCAGCATGGCTATAATGTAGGGAGTCTCCCACTGCCTCGGGGCATAGGCAACCAAGTTGAAGGGCAGCAGGATGCAGGCCAGAGCCCCCATGATGAGAATCATGCCCACCAAGTCCATCTCAATGACGTGGAACTTGATGGACTCAAGCCAGGTTCTGCCCGACGCCCGACGCTTGTCAATGACGCCCTCCCTGCGGGCTTTGCCCAGCATGGACCACATCAGGCCGATGGCGGGCGCACTGCACGCCACCAAGATGATGCTGAATGCGCCAAAGGCCCATCTAAAGTTGAGGTTGCGGTAGAAGAGACCGGCAATGTTGGGACCGGCATAGTTGCCGACGAGGCGGGGCGTTCCATTGATGGCAATGGCGAGCATGCGGTTCTTGAGGCTGCTCATGTCGGCCAGCATGACGCTCATGACGTAGCCGATGCCGATATGGCCAACCCAGTACATGGTGTGGGCGGCAACATACGTCTCGACGTTTTGGGCGACGGCCTTGATGACCATGCCGACGACGCACACGACCACCATGAACAGAAAGCCCTCGGCGCGGCCCCAGATGTCAACCACCTTGGCGATGAAGAGCGGCGCCACGGAGCCGATAATGGTGGACATGACGCTGCCGATGTTCAATAGACCGTGCTTTCCGAAAGACGACGTGATGTAAGGGTTGAGGATGGAGTCGATGTTGTTTTGGAGATAGTCGACAAACGAAACCAAGTAGAGTCTTGACGAGTTTACAACATGAGTGTCGTGTGTAACTGGTTTTTTTGTGGCGCGGGTGATGCGACTTACAAGGCAAACATGGAGAAAAGCGACGCCTTGGACCAGACCGTCGTGACGGCCCGAACCTCCCGCACGCCGTCTTGGAATTCGTCCGAATCAGAGGCATTCCCATCGTTTTTGGCGTGGCTGGTAGTCGAGCCGTCTACCGCCGCGGTATTGACTCCATGACCGCCCTTTTCAGCATCACCAGCGGAAGGACGGTGGCCGTCAGTCGACTTGATGTTGTCCATATCGAGGAGATGGAAAATGCAGAGTCGGTGGACTTTGTTTCATTTTTTTGCGAGAAGCCGAGGGCAGATGTTCTTTATGAGGAGGGCCGAACGAGCGAGCTTTAAAGTAGGCCGGTCATCGGACAACCCGCGGCTCTTTACGATGACCCCTGCCGCTCGCCACGCGCGACTAAGAGACGCCAAGAGGGAAAAAAAGAAGAAATCAATAGATGGAAGAAAACTCTGTCCCTGGGTGTTGTAAAGGGCGAGAAACAAGTGGGACACTTTCGGTGGCTTGATACTGGGGGCCGCGACCGGTTAGGGATGCCAAGTTGAGGGAATCCATCGCTCACTTGGACGGCCAAATCAGCCAGTGGCGGGCGTCATGCGACGAGTTGCGTCCCACTAGCGCCAGGGAGGATCAGATAAGATGTGGGCAGATAAAAATTAAATTGACTTGACCGGGTGGTGTGGAGCTGTGGCGTTTGGCGGTTGGGAACAGACATGGGTATGCCGGCATCACGACCAACACTTGGTAGGCCGTCGATTCCTTGCTTCGCATAGCTTGGGCCGATTTCCCCAGCCCAACCTGCTTCAGGGCCGGCGACAGCTCGCGCTCTGAGCGCCTAGGCGCCATGTTGTAATTCCCCATCCTTCCAATGCCAAAGTACTCCACGCGCCTGCGAAATCGTGCGTGTCGAACCATACCGGGAGCACAACTTGCGGCACTCCCGCCCTGTGGTAAGTTAGTAAATGTGAGCCTGGATGGGCGAGACGGCAATAACAAACCTGACAGCTTTAAAGTAACTCTTTACCCTGTCGTGGTTGACTGAGCAGATGACAAAACACAAAGTAAGAATAGAAATGGGCTCAGCTACAAGCCAGTCGACGACGCGAACATGATCATCGTAGCCAATGTTCCGATATAAGGGCGCTTAATCGCAATTAGAGTTATCACCCTTGCCAGACCACTTGAATATTTTCTCCACACTTTGCTGCAGCGTCCAAAAGAGACTTGATAGAAGCCGCGAGGATCATGGTCCCGCTGTCATCGTATAGGAGATGCGTGCCAAGGTTGATATACACGGTTGGGTGTCGTCGTATCCACGCGTTTAATTCCGGATCAGGCTCTTTCAACGGCGCTGCTGAGTAACAATGGGGTCGCACAAAATAAGGTGCTTTGGAACGACCGAAACAGAAAGTCAACGGTCGAGTTGCTGGGAAGGCCTTTAAACCCTGAGGTGGATCAAAGGATATGCGACCCTAGTTGGAGTAGTGCATTCTGTCTTTTCCCAAATACTCATGGAGATAATATGTATGTAATCGCTAGGGGGGTTCTTTCTCCATTGTCGCTGGTGGTATAATGCTGCTGGAATCAAGTACAGCGGCACGGGATAGGGGATGAATGAAGCTTTTCTGGTCCATGTCTCAACGTTAGTTCATAGCACGGGGTTGAAATGGAAGTGAAGACGTACGGGGTATGATTCCAGAAGGATTTATAACGAGGCTGATTATCAAGTGCGCGTTTGGCGAGATAGTTTTGTTGAGGGCATTCACGGATGGCTGCACCGCGGGGAACGAACACAGGTGCAGGTCAACTTGTGCGGCGTTGGCCTGAAGCTGTTGGAGGACGGCTAGATGGACGTTAGCCTGCCCGAGCTCGGCTTTGGTGAGGAAGAGGATGCGTTTCTGCTTCATACTTTAAGCAGGCCGGCTGCCGGGCAAGTTCCGCAGCCTGCTTGTCGCAGAAAATGCTATAATAAATGCCAAGTTGAAAAGACTATATTCATCGCGACCAAATCAGGGCGTCATTGCATCCAATACCCGTCTCGGGAGCTCCACAGAGAACCGGCCATCAGAAAGAGCAGGTGATCAGCACAAGATGCGTAAGACTCGTGGTGCCGCGACGGATGCCGCAACTCCTGGACTCGGGAGTCGACATAATCCACGGCTTGGCCGTCACCGCTCGCGGACACGCATCTCACAAGCCAATTGTGCCAAGAAGAGAGAGGGGGTTGTGGCAGTTGGTATTGACCGCTAGTCCAGCATTCCGGTTAAAGTACAACAAGGTTGATTCAACTCCAGTCGACATTGGTGATGAATCCACCAACCACACCCATGTTTCCTGCACGCAACTTACAGACGAATATACACACACCCCTTGAAAATACTTCTTCATCAGTGAGGCTCGCCAAGTCAAGTGTCAATCCATGCTCATCTCTGCCTCTTCCCTGCCTGTATTTGCGCGGCAATTATCGCGGTTGGCGCTGAACCCAACTTCCGAGTGTAAATTTCCCGAACACAGACTCCCCAATCGGATATCTGAGAGACTGGTGATGTAAGTCTCGCTCCAAGTCGCGCTAGGCCTTTTTTTTTTTTTTTCCTTTTTTTCCCTTCCAACGCTTGAGATGGGAGCAAGCAGTCTCCGCCGCCTAGTGTCCACGGCGTTCCAACGGCATCGGTTACAGTTCGACCGAACTTTGAATCTTTTACTATCGAGAATGGACAGAGATCCTTCCCGTTAACATTGTCATCCATCCTCGTCCTTCCGTCTGCCTGCTCTCTTTACCGTCGCCCAAGATACCACATCTAGCGCCTCAGACCACAGGCGGACATCATGTCATGCAAAGATTCGGAAGACGCCGACCAATCTGCGTGAAGAAAATGGCCGGCAAGTCTCGGTTACACACCGCAGTATCAAGGATATGACTTGACTTTTGGATTCACTAGGACTTTGGCAGCATCTTGGTCTTCTGCCGACTCCCTTTGCCGTACAGCCGACGTACATTGACGTGTTTCGCGTCGTGGGGTTAGGGCGCTTGGGCCTTTTTTTTTTTTTTTCCTTTTTTTCCCTTCCAACGCTTGAGATGGGAGCAAGCAGTCTCCGCCGCCTAGTGTCCACGGCGTTCCAACGGCATCGGTTACAGTTCGACCGAACTTTGAATCTTTTACTATCGAGAATGGACAGAGATCCTTCCCGTTAACATTGTCATCCATCCTCGTCCTTCCGTCTGCCTGCTCTCTTTACCGTCGCCCAAGATACCACATCTAGCGCCTCAGACCACAGGCGGACATCATGTCATGCAAAGATTCGGAAGACGCCGACCAATCTGCGTGAAGAAAATGGCCGGCAAGTCTCGGTTACACACCGCAGTATCAAGGATATGACTTGACTTTTGGATTCACTAGGACTTTGGCAGCATCTTGGTCTTCTGCCGACTCCCTTTGCCGTACAGCCGACGTACATTGACGTGTTTCGCGTCGTGGGGTTAGGGTCAGCCATTGCTGGCCTCTCGGTGAGCGGCAAGTCCACGATTACGTCTCTCATTGCACGCTTGTACGATCCGACGGCGGGAACCATTGAGATGGGCGGCCAGAATCGGGGGGAGCTCAACGTGAGATCGTTGCGAAGCGCAATGACCTTTGTCCAGCAGCAGCCGTCGCTTTTCGACTCTTCCATCCTGAAAAACATCGCACTTGGGCTTGTCAACTCTGCACTCCCAGAACATCAGATTTGAAGCCGTTGGTCGCGAGGGCCGAACTTGCTCTCGCAGCAAGCAAGGGCAAGCATACCATGACCTGGGCGTCATCCCAGGGCAGCGGCTTCGCTAACACTGTTCAGCTTATGCGCCAAGCAGCCGAGACGGCCGATGCGGCCAATTTTATCGACCGTCTCACGTCGGGCTACGGCACATCAGTTGGGCCCAGGGGCACGTTCTGTCAGTGGCGGACAGCGATAGCGTGTCGCCTTGGCGCAGGCCCTGATCCGAGATCCCGACAGCTTGATCCTGGACGAGGCCACCGCGAGCGTTGATTCGGCGAGCGAGCAAGTAGCGGCTTCGGGAAAGCGAGCCGTGATTTCCATTGCCCATCGACTGTTGACAATCCAAGGCGCCGACAATATCATTGTGCTGGAGGCGGGCCACGTTATTGCGCGAGGCCCATATACCGATAACGCCAAGGCTGACAAGAAGAAGGCCACGATGGAGAGCACAAAATAAATTTCAGAGGAAGCAAATAGCACGGTTCCTCAGCCAAGGAGTATTTTGCGAGAGGCATTACCTGGCTGATCTGACCATCGCTGGGTTGGGTTGTCATGTCACTGATAGCGGCTGCCATCGTTGTGCCACATTTTCTGGATCCGGTCTCATACTTGGCTACACGGTGAGTGCTCTGTACTCTTGCCGGAGCACTGTTAAGCGCATCCTCTCTATTGGCCGATTCTTTGGCGGCTTAATCTTCGCCTGGTGGGGATTCTGCATCATTTCAGGGCGAGTGGCCAGGAGAATCTTCAAACCTTTTGGAGGGATGATAGAGATGTACGCGCAGTCAGCATAGTCTTTGTCTATGGCTTCCTTCATCCCCCTTGCGTGCTGGCCCATAAAAGGACCGTTGTGATTTCAGGTATATCTTGCGCACCATGTAGTTCATCCATGGCATTTCATGCCACGGCACGGGAAAAGGGATTGTCGACCTCGGGCTAGTAAAGCAAATAATGATAAGCGACAAGCAACTAATTGATAACTGGGTGTACTTGTGGAGGGTACTTCAAGTAGTATTGGCGACGCTGCTGCACGGGGAGGGCAAACTCGTTGTAAGTGTCTGGCGGCTTTGGAAACGTTCCAGACGGTCGGGCGAATAGCACAGAGTGTCACACGGTTACTCGAGGGCTACTATCACGGAAGCTAGGGCAGAAGGCCGTCGCCGGCTTCTTTCCTTTGGTCCCTCAAGGACTTGGAAAATCAAGGACCTTTGATACCAAAGACTGTTATTAGATGAATAGTGCTATTGCTCCAAGCCCTCACAGAGCCCCTGTCACATAGTGTTACTTTTTACTAGCTAGCTCTTTAATTTCCTTTTTTATCGCGATGCGTTTATAGTGTTGATATTACGTGGTTAGGTACGGTTCCCTGGCCTAGGTACAGCTAAAATACAGTTATTATTACTAGATCTTAGTCTAGATGTCTTGTATTTAGCTCTTTTTTTTTTTTTCAATTAAGCTAATAAGTAATTTAATTTATTAATTAAATTAAAGAACTTATGTTTAATTAGTATTAATTACCCCTATTAATTGTTTTTTAATAATAGCTTAGGGGTCGTGTTATACATGTTATAATAAGCAAAACCCTCAAGGCTAACCTCTATGACTTTCTCCATATATGGACACTTTCTCCATATATGGACACCCCCCTAGCGCGGCCCGCTTCTCAGCGGCCATAACCTCGTGGCGCCATCCCTGGCCCCACTCCAAGCTCAGCGATCTGATTGATAAGATCATACTACGCAAGTGCACCTTGATGCATGCGCATGGACTAGATAAGATCTAGGGTCTCTGCTTGCGTACAACATCGACTACACAGACTGTTCCTAGCGGCTACAGCTACTCGGATTAGTCAAGTCCTTAGTCCAAAGCACAGCGCATTCCATTCTGTCCCACATGCGGCGGGGCACCGAGGAATACAAGACATTTAAATGCTGTATCAACGTACGTAATGCCAAGAGGCGTTGCGCAACTCAGGTAGCCGCTCAAAGCCCGGCATTTACGCACTGTCACAACCACCGCTCCTAATTCTTCCGGCTTGATGATCACGTTCACGCCGGGACTTCCATCATGGTGGACAAGCCCTCTGTACAAGATCGAGAAAACATTCCCGGTGTACTCGTGTTATACTTGCGCTGGCCGTCCGGACATGGAAGCCAAGCATCTGGATGCGCATGTGATGGAGCCTCTGCAACAATTTGCTCTCAAGTAGCATCTGTCTAGCGTTGTAGTATTTGATAGAGGTCGTCACTAAAAAAAAATACGACTTTCTAACCACTGCACACAACTCAAGACATCATGAGCGGCGACGAAAGCATCAATGGGCTCGCGGGCGGCTTCACCGAGTCTCTAGCAGAGGCCAACATCGCTGAGCCCAATTTCACGGCCGACAGCCCAACTAGCTACGAGAACCTGACGGGGGACATGTTCCTCCGTCGACAAGAGCTTCTCGACAAGATTACAGACCTGCGGTATGGTATCTTGTCCAAGAGCCCAGCGAGAGCATCTTCAACTATGTGCACACTGTAAGTGCTACCAAAAATCCTCCATTTCTCATAAAACGGGTGCTAATCGGGAGTGCAGTGTGTGCCTGGCATCATGGCACTCAATCTCATGAACCACTTTGACTTCTGGTCCGCCGTGCCGCTCGACGGCTCCGCGTTAGCAAAGGATATCGCAAAGCACGCCAATCCGCCTGATGAAGTGGCAAGGCGCGTCGTTGAACATGCGCTTACACTGCGACTGTTTGCCCCCGACGGCGACTACAAGGTCACAGGCCGGGTTCGACACTCGTGCAGATCTGCTGCTCTGGCAAAATCCGCCGGTCTAAGTGCCCTTGTCTCGACGGTTGTCGACACGCCGGGGCGCCCATGTTGGCCACGAATCGCGCCCTGGAGCTGTATGCTCGCGGAGAGCCTACTCTGACCAGAGATATGGACAAGACTGCGTTCGCTGTGTACCAGAGCGGCGGAACAATCGGAAACTACAAAACCCCGTGGGAGTTCATAGAGAGTGACGGCGAGGGCGAGCGTAAAGGATGGCGACAGAGGAACTTTGTCGAATTCATGCGCTATCTCGGAGAAATCTTCCGTCTGGAGTCGGTGCTGGAATAATCTTTTGACTGGAAGGGCGCGGGAAAAGCCACTGTTGTGGATGCAAGTTTCTCGCCCGCTGTGGGTTGTTGACACTTTTGCTAACTACAGCTAGATTGGAGGTTCCGGCGGCCACGACTCGTTCAACCCGGCTCAAAGGTTCCCGGAACTCAGCATCGTCGTGGAGGATCTGCCCAAAGCACAGGCGGGATTCGACAAGCATCAGCCCGCGACGATGAGGGACAGGGACGTTTGTGGCGCACGACTTCTTACAGCCCCAGCCCGTCCAGGCCGACATCTACCTGATCAAGCTCATCCTGCACGACTGGCCCGATGAGGAGTGCGTCAAGATTCTGCGTGGGCTCGTACCGGCCATGCGGCCTGGTGCACGCGTCTTCTTCCTCGACTACGTGGGCAAGCAGGAGTCCAGGGACCCGTCTCCCATGCCAACATCGATACAGCGGATGGGCACAGCTACTGATTTGAGAATGATGGCGCTCTTCAACGCCGAGGAGCGCCCTGCAGAGGCATGGCAGGCGATTTCAACTCTGCCGATAGCCGCTTCGACCTTGTTCGCCTGGAAGCTATAAATCCTCTGAGCTTCTTTGTTGTCATTAAAGCCGTTTGGAGGGCCTAGAGCTTAATAAGGAAATTGGATGCTAGCATTCAGCGGATAGAATACAATAGAGCTAGTGTATTCCTAAACAGTGAAACGAGACACTTGGTTCGTGAGAGAATACTGTCCGAGGAAAAACTAACAATGAGTTATCAGTGAAAATAGGGTAGTTCAAGAGAGACCATGTAGTTCGGGCGAGGAGTAAACCTACAAAATGACCAATAACTGCCTTTCCCTCAGATCGACGTCACTGCAGAAATAGTGTGCTTCCACTTGAATCTGCGAGGAACAAATCACCCTGTCTGCCCCATGATTTCTCTGGGCCCTTGCCACCCAAAGTCAACTACGTATCATGCGACTGGTATAGCCAAGGTCGGATGCAACAGAACATAAATCCCCCGTAGCCCCGAAGCCAAGCCAAAACCCAAAGATGTGCAGAAAGTGCCCCCTGTCGAAGCGGTGCCCAGTCTTGCAAACTCTTCGACACTCACACGACCAGTACGGAGTTACTTGCTATACAACGTCTAGTTTCTAGTCAACGGTTCTTCACTTCTGGACATAAGGTCACAATGGACGGCACCGTGCTCCCCTCTCTTTCTGAGCTGTGGCTACACACACAGCGAGATACGATTGACGCAGAAACTATAGTCGTCAAATGGCTCTCCCAGCTGCAAAAGTGTTTCGAGGAGCGTATTTTTGATAACATGTCCCACGTTCTTATCGAAGATTGCTGGTGGAGGGACATATAGGCCTCGCATGGGACTTTGCTACCAAGCAGGGCAAAGACATGATTGGGGGCTACTTGAGAAGCTCGCAGGTCAGTTTGGAGAACCTAGAGCCATGTACTGGCGATTTAAAACCAGCTGTGGTCGAATGGGAAGAAATGGCATTTGTTCAGTCAGGGTTTGTCTTTGGCACGCAACATGGCCCGGGGCGAGGGTTGGTGCGCCTTGCCAACGACGCGGACAACCACTGGAAAGCATGGATCGTTTTTGAGCAGCTAGAAGGACTGAAACAGAGGGATCTTAAAGCACATGGTACTCAGCCTACAACCGTCAACGGACCAAATAGCACCGCTGCGGAAGACGCTCCAGTTCTCATCGTTAGCGCAGGTATGTAGCTTTCTGTCCCCCGTCGTACTTGGACCTCATACATGTGCCAACAACGAATATACAGGTCAGGCGGGTGTCATACTCGGAACTCGTCTCCGGCAAATGCGCATACCGTGTCTTGTCGTAGAGAGGCACCGACCAGTCGGCGACGCATGGAGGGCTCGCTACGACTCGGTCAAGCTTCACACCCCCTAGTGGACAGACCACTACCCTTTTCTGCGATACCCGGTGAACTGGCCAGAGTGGCTGGGCCGGGACCGAGTAGCTGACTTTTTGGAGCACTACTCATAGCTCATGGGCCTGAATATCTTGCTCAACACAAACGTCACGTCTATCAAGCGTGACGGGTCAAAATACTCGGTTGAGCTCGACGGGCCGCCTGGGAGGCGGACGATTTCCTCCAAACACGTGGTTCTCGCTACTAGCGTTATAAGCGATAAGCCAAACACCCCTCGTTTCACAGGCCAAGACACCTTCAAGGGGGTGGTGTCTCACTCGAGCCAAAGAAAGTCGGGGAAGCTCGTGCCCGACATCGCGGCAAAAGACTGTCGTCATTTTAGGGTGCAGCACCAGCGGCCACGACGTCGCGCAGGATTTCGTCAACTGCGGTGCAAAGCAGGTTTCCATGGTCCAGCGGCACCCATCTTTTCGGTTTCGAGCCACTCTTGGAAAACCATCCAGCTGGGATGCTGGAACATGGACGGGCTGACCATGGACGAGGCTGGCGTGCTGGGGAACTCGTTCCCGACAGCCATGATACGCACCATGAGCATTGGCTCGACGGCTGCCATGGCCAAAGCGGACAAGGACATGCTAGATGGACTGCGGAAGGCCGGACTGGCGCTTCGCACTGGACAGGACGGCCACGGGCTTGCGGACCACCAGCTGATCAAGGGCGGTCGCTTTTACATTGATCAAGGAGCCAGTCGGATGATCATCGACGGCCGCATCAAGGTCCACCACTGCGAGGGCGGCGTGCGCGAGTTTGGTGAGACGTCTGTCACCCTGGCAGACGGGACAAACATTGAGACAGGTGTCGTTGTTTTATCTACTGGTTATGGCAAGAACCTTGACCATGTGCGGAAGCTCATGGGTGACGAAGTCGCCAACAAGTTGGAGGGACTTGGAGACTTGGAAATTCTCTCAAACGTTGGCGTTGCAGATTGCCGCAGATCTAAGACGAGCCGTGTCTGACGCCAATGTATAAAGTATGTATGTGGCTTGTTCGACTCTGCTTCTTAGACAAGCTTGTGGATAGGACAGGAATTAAGTTGAGAAAGTCTATGTCTTGCTATGTTATACTCTGTACTTGGCGGTGGCACACCATGGTATAGAATTGAGCGTCTGTAGGGGAACCGTTATATATCACGCCTGCTGTCAATAGCAGACGCATCAGGGACCTTTCCTTGGCCTGGCACAAGAGTTGATTCAACGTCGGCCACCTCTGCGGCCTCGGAGCCAAGAGAGTAAGCCAATTGTGCCACATGCAAGACACAGTGGAGCTTCACAAGCTTTCCTCTGGGGTTGTCTGGCATGAGCTGGAGAAGCCGGTGTAAGTGCCGACCTGGAGCGAACCGGCGCTCAACGAGTTGCGCAACGTGGCAAGTTGCAACTCTTGGTGTTCACTATTGGGGGCTCGGTCGTTTCACCGTAAAGCGTACTTGACCAAGGTTAGAGACCGCATCCAACTCGCCAGGGGTGGGAGTATCCATAGGCCACCGACGGGATGGATACAAAAAGCTCGAGACGTCTGATGGTTCTGGAAGGTATCTGGTGCGCTTTATAAGGCACTACGACGTACGCGAGCTTGGTTATCATGGCTATTCTATTCCAAGAGCATCCCATTAACATCCTACCTTCCCGCTTGGGCCGTCGATTCCGAGGGCTACATTAAGATTCAACACGAGTGAGCTTTTCTATGTGGCTGAAAAAAATAATCATAGTAACTAATATGCCGTAGCTTGATGATCGAGTCAGAGAGTCCAAATGCAGACCGTCACTACTGCGCTGGCGACGCAATGAATGGCGGCTACTGAATCGCTAATGATATACACCAACACATCCTCAAGGAAAACATTGGCCATTTACCAGAGTATAGGAGGCCAGCATAGCCGGAGCCTTTGATTGCCCTGGTGTGGGCAAAAGCACCGTCACCGGTCTCTTCAGGGACACATGGGACTGACGCCGGCCCGCATGTCATGCAGAAGGTTTTTTGGCGAGGATTTGTATCTTCCTGGTCAGTCTTACTCCTCCTTAAATAATACATCTTGAGTATTAATAAGGGACTTTATGCTGCTGGGGATGGCTGAGTCTGGGCATAAAAGAGGACTGGAGACTGGATATATTAGCAGAGCATCTAAGAGCAGAGCATGAAAATCCCTTGTTCGTTCTAGGGTTGCATTTATAGCATTATTTGCATGTTCTATAATAGTATTAAGGCTAAAGTAACTAATTTCTTCAATATGTATTGAGTATTATTAATAGATTTCAATAGGCACTATACACCAATCTATCCAAGCCTAGAGACACAAGGCAAAGCAAGCATAAGGCAAGCCTTACGCTTGCAACTATATTGTTGCGCGTGGCAACTGGGGCAAAATTAATTTAACTTGAATTCATTTCTTCTTAATTCTTTAGCCTATTCTAGTATTTACACCGGCACTACATGAAGTAATGCCTAATTATACAAATACCCTGTGCCCGGTAGTACTTGGAATAGAGAACCGTGGTATACTATAGCAAACACTATATAAACACGTATTATAATACATAAGAAACTTGCGGAATGTGGTTAAAAAACTACTAGCCCAAATTGAACATTATCCGCTCGTTTGCATTATCCCGGAGAGGATTTTATCGTGTATATTAGACCATTATTTAACAGCAGTTATGTCGAGTCTGTTTACTTGGGCTAGATTTGCCTGATCAAAAGAAGGCAGAGCAGCCCACTTGCATATTACTTTTGGCAATAGACTTCGATAGTTAGGGTCTTCAGTCCCGAAATCCGCTTTCGAGACTAAATCTACCCATAAAATACCCCCTTGATCTGTTATATCTGAATACCTGGCTATATTAGCGGCCGTACCTCTATTTCTTTTTATAATATTCCTTTACAGCCAATATACAGCATACGAGGAATAATTTGTCCATGTGAAAATGCGTAATATCTGTATAGCATAGTTCTATTATTGCACATGTCACAGAGAGGGTTATAACTAGAGTAACTCAAGGGGGTATAGTGTCATGTCCCCAACGTCTAATTTTGTCTTATTTTGAGACTGATTATCATTCTACAGTTTATCATCTCCAAAGGGCAATAAATCCTTTTAGTATAATGCAATGACCGGCTCTGGTAGAGCCAAAGCCTCTGTTTCTGTTCTAAAGCTTATGGCAAATGCGCTCGAGAATGGGCATCCGACCCATGCAGTCATTCGCAAGTCAACTTGCAACCGTCCAGGGAAATGAGGGGCTACAATACTCAGAGATGACCAGCAGAGAATTGTCGGCAAGTACACGCTGAGATTGGATGTGGTTAGCGGACGCGCCAGTAGCCAAAGTACGACATTGTCAACTACGTAGGCTCAGTCCACGTACTCTGCTACCTAATCTTTTGTCTAAAACCTCAAGTAAGGGTACGTGAACTCAATTATGGCAAGTTAATGACAAAATCCTCCATATCCCAACAAGCACAGATCAGTTACGCCAGAGACAGCATTGAAGCTAGGCATTTGCGAGCAAGAGAACCATCCCAATTATACACCACAGAAAATACGAGAGTGATTATCACGGCGCCCGAGCTTATTGAAACTATGCAGCAGACTGGAGATTTTGCGTCACACAGCAGTCGCTGTGTCTTTTCAAGCACTCCCTGGCTGGCCGCAGATAAGTACTGGCCCCACGAAGGAGAACTGCTGCCGTCAGACGAGCATGGGAGAGGCCGCTCATTTCACCGAGCTTTTCTAGAACTCTTTCCGCGTCAAGAATATGCCACGGCAGCTGAGGATGACACGGATGTGATATCCTCGTCAAGGGAAGGTGCCTCTGGCGGAAAGGTCAACTGTCATCTCCTAATCTTACCATCTGCGGACCCTTGGAGCATCAAGAGCAAGTTACATGGTTGCCAACCAGGCTGCACAGCTCAGCTGCGAATGCGTAAGCTCTTTCAGGGCTCGGCCTCGACCACTGCGTGCATCTTCATCCGTGTCCCGGACAAGAGCATCCCAAGGCTGTCTCATCAGAGATACTCGAGTCGTTGTAGAACTTTGCCGGGAACAAGCATTTTGCTGTGTGGTTCCTAAGAATCACGCTCCCGAGGCCCTGTCGGTAAGTTTGGCCGGCACCAGATATGGCAATGAATGTCGCGACGCCCACGCATATCTACTTTCGTCGAGTAGATACTCTACAAACACCCTCGACATGAATGGAGTCCTCAGGCGCCAGAGTTACAGTCACCGATTCGCACCTCTCCTTGTTCCAAGTAACGTGTATACTGATCCATCGTAGTCCGCACACATTCTCCTTTTGCGATGGAAAGAATCTAGTAGTCAATGGTACAACAGCCCGCTCGTCTCTGTTCCTCGTCGATTCTACGTATTACAAGGAGAGCCATATTGAAGAGAGCAATGACTGAGTCCAGCACCACACAACGGCAATCACGCAGGTCAATGATCACCTCTAGGTCCCGAATCGCGCTGCTATAGAGGTCACGAGCGAGGCCAAACAAGCTGTCAAAACCGGTTGATACATCACATTACTTTCTAAGATATGCTATAGCCTAGTAGTAATAAGTCTTGCAATCCTTCTCCCCCGGCATCTTGCAGACGGTCACCTTGACACTGGCCCCTGCAGGGTCATTCTGCACACAAGTAGAGTTTGCCTCCTTGGATACATTCTTTTCGACCCCGCCGACAGGAGGAGTGGGAGGTGCCTTTGTGCCGTCTCCGCACTTATCCTCAACCGAAGTCTCAGGGCCCTTCTGGCTGGGGGGCGCAGAACCAGTCTGCTTTGGAGGCTCGGGGCCCTTCTGGCTTGGAGTTTCAGAGCCCTTCGGGCCTGAAGGTCCTGAACCATTCTGGCTCGGAGGCTCGGTGCCCTTCTGGTCTGAAGGTCCAGGACCATTCTGTTGAGATGGAGCTTGGCCCTTGAAATTGACGGGAGCAACGATTTCCGTCGAGATCTCAGTGATAATCTTGACCTTGTTGGTGACGCTAACAGGCTTGTTCTCCTCCAAATCCTTCATAGCAGGCTTGGAGGCCTCAACGACAGCCTTGTCAGCTTCCTTGGGGCTCTGGGCAGCAACCTCCTGAATCTTGTCAATGGTAGGTGCATTGTCGAGGCATGAGGCATCGCAGGCGGCAGTAGGGAGCTTGGCGGCTTCCACCTTGGGAACAGTAGCGACGGAGTCCTTGACGGGGACGGGCGCGTCGATGACCGGCAGGACGGTAAACTCGTCGGGCTTGGTGAAGTTGAAAATAGACGTGATCTCGCGGTATTGGATCAGGATGTCGACCTTTGCGGTGGCGTTGAGTTGCGAGGTGATCTTGCCGTCTTCCAACTTGACAGACGAGAAGTAACCCACATCTGCCTTGATCTGGAACGTAGGAAGCAGCAAGCCCAGCGCTACCGACGACGACTCGGGGTATGACTTGCCGCCAAATTCAAAGCTTCCGATATTCTGGGTCTCGGGGCGGTCCTTGTAGTACTCGTCAATGGTCAGGTTCTTGGTCGCGATACCCGTGCCTGCGGGGAGCTGGTTCCAGCAGTCCCAGCCTTGAACCGTTTCGTTTGTGCCATTCTTCTGGCACTTGGTGCCGCCAATGATGCCCTGGACATAGTCCCACGGCGTTCCCTTGGGCACGGTGTCGTTGGAAAAAGCCTTTTGGCCCTCGGCCCACCGCTCCTTGAACCAGTCAAACTGCTGCTGTGACAGGTCGTTGTAAGCAGCCTTGCAGGCCAAGCAGCCGTTGACATCTTGGAAGTAGGAGCTGCCATTGTCTTTGATACAGCTAGCATACGCCTTCCAGTTGGCCTCGGATGTGGTATTCTTCTTGACCTGGGTCACGATTTCACACTTGAGACCAATAGCCTGCTCGGAAAGACAAGGGGGGATAGCTTTGTCGCCTCCGAGAGCATAAGTACCCGGTGGGTGGCACTGGTCGCCGATTTTGGCGCCTCCTGCAAGCCGAGCTGCGACGTTCTCATCCTTGAGGACCTGGCGCTTCTTGAGGGCCGAGGCCGAGGCATACTCCAAAAGGGCCAAGACGCTGGCAAGCGCGGCGGTGTTGACAAGCATATTGACAAAGGTGAATTTAAGGAAAGTGGTAGTTGGAAAATGTTTTGAAAACAAAACAAAAAAAGAATATTTGAGGGAGGAAGGAGTGTATGGGTGAATAAGGAGCAAGACTCGTTGGTAGCAGGGCAGACGGACTCGAATATATAGCAGGGCCTGTGAGCAGGTTGTCGAGACATGTCATGTAGCCTAAAACATCAAGAAAACTGAGTTTGTTAGATAAAACATGCGAAGCCAGCGCATGACTCGGCAGAACATGAGACGGCCCAGGTGTTGATCTTGAGTCATGGGCATCAGGAGCATTTAGAAGACTTCTCAGCACCGAGCCCACCTTTACTTGTTGCTGCAGAAAGTCTGGCTCCTGAGACTTGTTTGAGTTTCTATGGGACTGCATAGATTTTTAGATGAAGGGTTAAGAATAGTATGCCATGCCATGCTCATCCCATGGACAATCAACTGCCTTTACTTTTGCAACTAACCCCGTTATCATGTATGCCTTTGCAAAGTTGATAAGATGTATTATTCCGAGTCTTTGACCACTTGCACATACTATTTCAAGGCAGGATTCGCACTCTCTACTGCCTGCTTGGAGTTTGCTGCAAGTCGTTTCGTTTGACTGGGATTCTCAATCAGAGCTGCAGTCGGGTTAGGGTTCTACGAGCACAATAGTCGATCAGCCCCACAAAAAAAGATGCGATTTGGGCCCACCCACTTGCTGCTCGTCGCAAGTTGTCAAAGAGCACTCGAGGCTATGCAAACATCCACTCATGCATTCATGCGACATTCGGGAGACCAACGAACGACGAGGCTGTACGAGGTGGGGTTGAGGCTGAGAAGTTTGAGACTCGACATGTCCTGTAAAGTGTGCGGCTCAGCAGGGATGGCTCTCGACGCGGATTCAGATAAGGATGAGGAGACGACTCAGAAGAGAGGCGAGCCAGGGATCATAAGTCAGGGCCACGTCCACGAAGGATGCAGTCCATTTTCCTCTTCAGGGAATCTTGTACGCACATGTGAGTGGAAAAGTCGCTAGGCTGATCGACCATCGGCCCCGCCGCCGATCCTTTGACAGATGCGCACGTTCTTGATGCAACACCTCCTCCTCCCGCCACGGGTACGCAGGAGGAAACGCATGGCCTCCTCCACTGCAATTTCACAGCCTCTTGATTGCGTTGATGTTGGCCTATGCCGTCACTGCCGAGTCTCGTTATCAATACGGGGCGATAAGTCTTCACAGGGAGAAATCGGGCCCATCGCAAGATATCGCATTTGCCATCCCGGCAAGCACGTGTGTCATGTTATCAATGTCCCTGCTAAGCCCGCAGCCACTACTCTACTCATCCATGAATTCATGGCGACGTGGTGCAAGATGGTGACGAGGTCAAGGCACAGGCGTGGCCTATACTTTACGTGCCAGAGGCCAAGTATGAGTCTCTCCTACATGGTCACTCTCACCTGGGCAAAGAATCCTACTTTGCCATGTCACCATTATATTGACATGACTTGCCATGACTTGCAATCACCTTGCCACCTCAAGTCGCCCGTCAGGCTTCATATCGCGCACGAATGAAATTAGCCATGGCCAATATCGCCGGCAGCTCATCTCCTTGGCCGCACCGTGGAAAAATCCCTACGCCCGAATCAAATATCCGGACATATTACACGGATTTACACGAGGGCCACCATCACGAGTCCCCAGGGCTCGAGGGCTCACCGCCGCTTTGTAGAAATCAGACCCTTTGGTCCCAAGGTCCCTTGAGACCAAAGACTGTTATGGGACAAATCGAGTCATTACTTCAAGCCCTCTACTACGCCCTTGTCACAGGATACCTGGTAGAGTGTTGAATATTGGACATTCCAAGCACAACTATTTGGGAAATCTTGCACAAAAAGAGCGCTTCTTCCTTGTCGACCGAGAGCGTGGCTCGCAAATACAAAACCCTTTTTACAAAGAGGCCCCAAGTTCTCGTCAATCTATGCGCGGGAATATCAAGACCAAACATCCTCCTGCAGCTCGTTAGTCAAACCCCTCTGCGTGTACTCATCAAAAAAGACGCTACCGGCTGCAGCAGATGGGCAAGAAAAACACATACCTGGTATGATTTCGCCGCCTTCATTTCCCTCATTACGCTTTCCGCCTCGGGCAGAGACACTCCCCTCTGCTAGGCGATAATCTGCGCCAGAGCGCTTCTGACCTCTCGCGCCATGTTGGCAGCGTCACCACAGACGTAGAAATGGCCGCCGCGCAGCAGCAGGTTGTTGATTTCAGCAGCCATGTCCTTCATGCGATGCTGCACGTACACTTTATCGCTGCCCTCTCTGGAAAAGGCCGTAATCAGTCGGAAACCGTCACCAAGGCGCCGCTTCGCCCCCGCAAACTCTTCTTCGTAGAGAAAGTCTTGCTGTGGGTGGCGGCATCCGAAGAATAACATGATGGGACCGACCCGTGCGCCGTGGAAACTCTGGTACACTCGTTCCCGGAGAAAGGCTCGGAAAGGCGCGACGCCAGTGCCCGGGCCGACCATGATGATGGGATACAGCGGGCTCGCAGGCAGCCTAAAGTTGGAGTGGCGGACGTGGATTAGGACCTTGAACCCTTGGAGCTCGTTTCTCGGTCCGGCGATGCGATATGTCATCGCCAGGGGCCGTGCCTCGCCATCTCTTGCCTGCTTGAGGGCAAGCAAGTAGTTGGTTGCGACGCCGTAAAAACGACGCCCGCGTGACACCTGCCGGGCTTCTACGACGGCCGTAATGGACATGTTTCTGGGCTCCTCCAGGGAAGATGACGAGATGGAGTAGTAGCGTGGACTTAGTCTCGGAATCCCTTCGATAAGGATAGGCAGAGGGACCTTGTCCCATGTCATGCCCCTTCCTACTGCGTTCAGGAGCGTCGCAAGATTCATATGCGGCCGAGTAACCTCTTCGGCAAACTTGGCTTTATCACTACCTAGGCGAACCATTTCCGCGCGGCCCGTCGCATCGGGCGCGAATGGCGCGAGAGCAGCAACTAAATCGCGCGAGATTGGCCCGCATATATCGAGATAATGGCGAAAAAGAGCGCCGTAAGTGGTAGGACTGGGTGGTAGGCTGGCCATTGGCAATCTCGGCCGGATCCTGATGACCTTCTCTTGCTTGTCTAGAAGGCCGAGGGCTCCCAGAAGGCGGACGACTTCCTCGTTGGGGTTCATCGGCCACAGGGCGGCATGGTCGCCCGTGTGGTAGGAAAGGTCGCTGCCGGTGATGTCGACATCCAAATGCAGGCAGTTTCGGTCTGGGGATTTGAATAGCTCCCGTATCTCCGATACTTGCGCAATGGAGGGGTTTTGGCTGTCGAACGGACCGCCTACAGAGCCCCTTAAGTGCTGTTCATTGTGCTCGCCGGCATAAACCACACCAGAGTCCTTACCGAGATGTGGCTGCTCAACTACGTCCAAAGCATATACATGTTCGGGGTCGGCCTGACGTAGTCCTCTGACGTGTTCAAGTGCGGCCCACGCCCTTTCTTTCCACGCGAGGAAATCTTCTTCCAGGGTCCCCTCGCCGTCGTCGCCCTCACCCAGTTCGCCTATACGTGTTGCGCCGAGACGGACGAGGGCGAGGTTAACGCTTCGGGCCATGGCGTTGTAATGGTCGTGGGTGCTATCCCCGAGGCCGAATATCATGAATTTGAGAGACTGTAGCGGCGAATTTCCAAGCCTAAGGAGGGCTGGTGCTTCTCCTGCAACGCTGTTGAAGAGGTTTGTGGCGTTTTCTGTTGGCTTTCCATCGCCAGTTGTCGCCAGGACGAATACTACAATCTTATCAGTGGCAAGCTTGTCGAGTCTGTCAAAGTTGTACTCGGCGGGATTGGCGATGACGATTTCAAGGCCGAATCGCCCCCGACCGTCCGCGGCCAGCCGAGTCGCGTAGCTCTCAGCGGTGCCTGTCTCGGACCCGTAGAATATTATACAGTCGGCATCTAGCCTTTCCATCTCGGATGAGATGTCCTTTAGAAGGTGCTCGCTCATGCCGGCTACTGGGTACGTACGAGGGGAGCGGCTTGGAAAAGGTATTTGCAATCGAGGGCGACCGCAGGGTGGACAAATGTAGTCTGAACAGCTTGGATTCCTCGTCAGGGCACCCCTTGCCTTTATTACGACGAGCAGATTTCATTGCCAATCTTGTAACCCTAGTTTAAGCGGTATGCCGTGGATTACCTAGGAGCGAAGAACGGTACACCTGATATGAGTTGTGCTATGCTTTTGCCCGTCTAGTGCCCGTCTGAACATGTAGTCCTATTGCCTCTTGCCTTGTTTAGACGGATGTAACAGTCCAGTGCCCGCGGAAATGCTGTATTCGGCTATAATAACGGGACATTATTCAAAACAATCCGCACCAAGGGCGTGGCTAGTCACAATGACTCTGCCCGATTAACGCTGGCCCACAGCAGCCAAAAAGTAGCCTGTTCATATTTGACCCAAATCCACTCGTAGAAAGTTGTGACATGCACTCAATTGGGCGCGCCTTTTAGACTAGTCTTCACCTTCTATGGTTTCATAATGATATCATGGGCCAGACGGTTCCCGGGATCAAAGACTACCACTGACCTTTCGGCAACTACGGCTTGCGTAGTCCGTTGAGAATTTCGTTTTAGCACCTGTGCGCTTTATGTGTTTACGTAGTAATCACGGGACACACATATGGAGACCGTTCTCTCTCCCCTCGGCCACCGTGGGGATGGAGACGGTTCAAAGGCCGCGGAGATTCTCGGTACGTATCCGCCTAGCCAAGCATAAGGGTCCAAGACGAAAAAGGCCCGGGTCCTTTCAAGCTAGAATAAAATCGACCCACGAACACTATGAGGAGCAAGTTGAGGCATTGTTACGATTATGCATGGCGCCATTTTGAGACTGGCTGCCGCGAGGCTATGTTCCGAATCAAGCCAGAAATGGTTGTGCCATCCCTTGCGTTGGCTACTTAAATTTCAGACCCGATTCATTTACCTTGTTCATACACTTAAAAGCGGTGTAACGGTAAAGAGCATTTAAGCTTAAATTTAGAACGTGAGCGTTATCTTAGAGAACAGTTTATAAAGTTATAATTAATATCAATTTATAGTAAAAATATAAATATATACTACTTTATCCCTTTATAATAAGAATAAACTAGCTTATAACATTCATTTCTTAAATAACTTAATAAACCATTTTTTTAATTTCTCTCTTTTCTTTTCTTTTTTAGTTTCACGTGGTTAGAGATGCATTGCTCTCGAATGTGTGGCTTCGTGCAGCATTACTCAGTATCGTGGCGGGAATGGGTGGCATGATTCTTGGTTTCATGCCGGTCTGTCGACTTATAAATATACAAAATAAGCCAGTTCCCTTCATGCCACCTAGAACCATAACCAAGCGACTAGACGTCAGTTACACCCGCATAATTCATAATGCCTTCCTAGAGACATGACCAAGCGCCGCTCAATGTCATTATCCCCATTGGCGGCAATGGCACGCGTTTCTCCAACAAAGGTTCGCTACCCAAAACCATTGATCAATATGGTCGGTAGGCCGATGCTGCTATGGATTATCGATCATCTGAGCCTACGGCCTCGGGATACGTTGTGGGTGGCCATCAATAAACAGGATGACGACAACTTCCAAGTTGGACAGTTGTTGGCCAAGTCGTATGCCAAGATTAACATTCGAGTTGTTCGATTGCTGCATTAGACGTAAGGTGCGGCCGAGACTACTAGTCCTTGGAAAAAGAAAAGAAAACCTGCTTATGCGGCACAACCTCACAATAGACACTAGCTTTATGTTACGACGCAGGGCATGCAAATGCTTGACTTGCAACGCAGAACCATTTCACTAAACTGCGACACTATCTATTAGACTGATATTCCCACTTGTCAGAAATCTGCCGGCTTATTACGGCTCTTGCATCTACTTTTCTGATAACGGAGATTGTCCAATCTATTCTTACATCAAAACGAAAAACGAGTATGTCTTTCCCGCTTTAACATTCAATGTGTGCTACTATCTTACTAATTCAGGGATGGCCTGGAGAAAATTCTGGACATCCTAGAGAAGACCATCATCTCAACCCAAGCGAATACTGGTGCTTGTGTGTTTCCCTCGGCACGTCAGCTAAAGTCTTGGGCAGCAGAGTGCAGTCCCCGTAAATGAACAAGATTTCAATGTCGTGCGCACCAGAGCAGTTGACCAACTTTCTTGCCAGGGCCGAGTCTGGTAGTCTGCCTTCCAGGATGACCCAAAGGAAAAGCCGATTCCGTTCCGATTCGGACATGACTCGGGTCGGAGCCCCTGCTATAACGGGCGACTACTCCACTTCCGCTAATCGAGGCGAATATCGAATACAAGTTGGTCTAGCAACTGTATCATGCTAGACATGATATTATCATCGTACGTATATTTGCTTGGCTCCCAAGGCAGAAATAGGCGACAAAGTTGAGAATATAACTTCACGTGTTTATTAAAGTAAGTTTATGAATAGGTTTTAATATATAGAATACGTTAAAAAGTGGGAGTATTAGTTATTCAATTACATTTAAATTAATTTCAATTAAATCTAATTAACAGTCATGCATACAGCTTACTTGGCACACCAAAATACAGCTCTGTACTGTCTTATTGGCCGTGGAATCCGAACATGAGTCGGTGCATCTCGAGTCATAAACGGGGCCCGTTGAAACTCGAAACACTTTGAGTCAGAGACATGACAAAAACGCCGTAACCGTAACATTGGTAAAAAGACTTGACCACGTGGCACTATGTACAGTCGTCATAGCATAACAGAAGAGGCAAGCATATCTTCTGGCTCACTGGTCCCCGTTCTTTTTATCCTCTGTAGGTCCCACGTTATTTAGAGTATATTCATCTATTCCCTTTTAACTTGCTCGATCCTTGCAAAGTCACGCTCAGTCGCAACCCCGCGGTTGTGATTGGGGGTCGCCATGTACCGCTTCAAAACCAGTGTCGCGTGCGTGTGCGTGTGGTTGCTTCTGATCGTATTAACTCTCCATCGGAGAGCATCCTGGCCTGCCCATGACGCTTCCGACTCAACGACTCCCCCGACGCGTTATGCCATTCAACCTTTTTGACCGGGGACTCGGCGGAAGATTCAGACGAGGGCGGTTACTTCACCGCTGCGAGAGTCCTTACCTACCAGCTCATCCACGCCAACGAGACGTGCATCAGGGACCGCAACCGCCGACGCATCGACTGGGTGGTCGCGGTCACAAACGACGTGCCTGAAAGCAACCGGCAGCAACTTCGGCAAGACGGGGCCATCGTCGTGCCGGTGCAGGACGTTGGTCTACCGTCCTGGATCAAGATACCCATCCATCGGTGGAAGGACCAATTCACCAAGCTCCGCCTCATCCAAATGACGCAGTACACTCGCCTGCTTTTCATCGACGCCGACAGCCTGCTCACGCGGCCCATCGACGATGTATTCGACGAGCTCGCGGTGCGTGAACCAAAGAGGACTGTCCCAGACCGTCCGTGGGAAGGAGGCGGCACATACGTTGACGAATACGTATTTGCGGCCCGGCCGGACAACGGCTACCGACAGGGTCACGACCACGTCGTGCCGCCAGACCCGATGGCCAGAAGCGACTACTTCAACGCGGGCTTCTGGGTCACGAGACCGTCCGAGGAAATGTTCAGCCTCTTCATGCACGTCATGGCGCTGAACGACAGTTTCCCCTCCGTCATGATGGAACAGTCTATGCTCAACCACATCTTCCGCCACGACGGACCAATGCCTTGGGAGGAGCTGAACTGGAGGTGGAATGCGAATTACCCCAATGCAAGAGATTTAGCGGCAGGGGTCCGCTGCTTACACCAAAAGTTTTGGCAAGAAGGGGACGAACATCTGCGCTCGTTATGGCACAGCTGGCGTGCAAGAATGGAGAATTACTACCGCGGAATAGAAGCTTTAAAATGAGGGAGAAAAAGTTGTGTATTAGTTCGGATATTAGATGCAATGTTTCATCTCGTAAATATGTAGAGTATATAAGTAAATTATAGATGTCTCATTTATATAATTTATTAAAGATTATATAATATTTATAATAGATTACATAATTTCTTTGCCTTGATTATTGAATTATAAAAAAAAGAAAAAAAAGTAATTGATTTAAAGGTATTTAATAATATTATATTATTATTATACTACAAAGCCAACTGTTGCGGTTTTGTCCTCCCAACACGGCAATTGCCGCCGCTTTTGGCGGCTTCGACCGGTGGGGCACTCCTCGACGCACCCCCTCCCCCGGGTCCACTCGAAGAGCTCGTACAGTGGGTTTTGTACCTGATGGCTGCGCCAAAGCGCCCCACGCCAGCCCCAGCCCCAGCCCCAGCCGCCTAATCTGCCTCACTGGACCTGGCGTAGATTTGACAGCTGAGCACAGCAGCATCCGTTCATAAATAACGAGAACATCCGCAGCTTCTACTGGACACTTTCCTGCGTTACTTTGTTAGTTCAGATACAAGGCTGACTTCTTTCAATCCCCAGCTTGTAAACGTTCATTTTCAAGACCATGATCGGCCAGCTTCATGATCAAGTTCTGCTAGCGCTCGAGGTCGCCGCTAGGAGACGCCACAAGGCTACATTGGCGCCAACGGAGCATCAGAAGCACAAGTTGGATGTAAATGGCTACCACCGCATGCAGAGAGAGATGAATGAAACGACGTTCCTTGACCCAATAGACGCAGACACCACAAAGGCCAATATTTACTACATCAAGAAAAAATTTATCAACCAAGTCCGTCAGCAGGTCTCGTCGCATGCCCTCTGCTTTGCTGAATGGTAGTCAGGTTTTGTCGTGAGAAGGATCATGGCACTTGGAGAAATGCGATCACGTGGCAATATTGTGATAAAGGTTTAATAACAACGTTTTTATTCTAGATTTGCGAAACACACATCCAGCATAGGCGAAATCACTACTGTCATCACCGGCCCGGAGATGAATACAACAACAACAGACACGAATGGCGCTGAAGATGACGCACCCTTGATTCGAAAGCACAAAGCGCTTTGCTATCAAGACATCGTTCTTTGGATTGTTCAGGATCCTAATGGCCGAGGGCGAGACGTTTTAGCGATGGAAGTGTTTTTCCGATGTCATAAAGGAGTCGACAGAAAACCAAAGCCGTAAGTAAGGCCAGTCATCATTGTATCGTTTGATGCGTCATATGCATGCTAACTTCAGTTGAAGTACCGTCTTCTTATTTCGTGAGAACCCACTGCCTATTCTTTGTCCTGTCACACACTTCTTAGCTCAAGCCATTCGTGACGATGCAATTGAATTAGATGGCTTCATGCATGCTGCACCATTTGTTTCTACTCAAATTCACAGAAGCGCAACGAAGGTACACTGGAAGCCCTCAAAGCTCAAAATACCCGTGTTTCGAAAATCAGTTCGCACGGCAGGTGGATGGATTAAATCTGCAACAGAACCTATGAAGTACTTGACATATGCCTTTTATCTCAATAGGATCGGCTCAGAATTAGGCTCAGAGGAAAAATGGACATTATATTGCTTCCGCCGCGGCCATGCAAATGCTCTCCTTGGTGTTGCGCCTGACTCTATTATAGATCAGGTTTTGCGGCACGATCCAATGACCGGATGTATGCAGAATGCGTACTAGAATTATCGGATAGGGTTCAATACACAAGACGCATTCCTCGAAAGAGACCCATCGGCTGATGGTCTGACTCGGGCATTTACACATATGAGCATTAGATGTAACCCGGAAGTCCCTAAAGAGATCCCCAAGACAGACTTAGCTAAGCTTCCGATTGATCCCGAAGTTGCCGACCTTTGGAGACGCGTTAAATTAATGTCTGTTCGCATAAGACAAGAGTATGGCTATATTAAGTATGCTGCAAAGGGCATCAAAGAAGACTACCAACTGTTGCAAAGAGGCTTGAGAAACGCCGAGAAGGGTTTCCGACATGATATGACAAAAGTCTATCAGGAAGCTTGTCGCAGGCGCATCCACAACGAGGAACTGCAAAGGCAGCGCGGCCGATCGACAACAAACTCAATCGACAGAAATTCTGTACTGAATCCTGACATGCAGCATCAATTAGAGGAGCGGGAACAGCTGCAAACCATATTAAGCGATTTTCGACAGGCCATACCTACCAAGGATACTACGAACCGCAAAATCCAAGCCGTGGATTTGATGGTTCGACTCGCCTCGCGCTGCGAAGTGCGACCACCTTCATCTCTAGCTCCGGCTGAGATTCGCATTTGTCAGAAGCTTCCCTACACAAAGAAGTCTTCAGGTGGTGTCGAAGTCGAGGAATTTCCGTTTATTCTCGGTAAGACGCAGTGTATATATTGTGTCGGCGAAGAGTGGCTCCCATATAGCATACGCGCGCATTCCTTCAACCGTGTATCTCATATGATGGATCATGTCGAAAACGTTCATCTGAAACATGAGCGCACAGGCGGTAGGTTTGTCTGCCGCCATCCGCGATGTAAGCATTTGGGGGACTTCTTGTCTAGCTTGGATTGTTTCAAAAAGCATGTGCAAAGCGTTCATGGCGTCAGCCTTCGTAGGTAGTGCCAAAATATGAAGATCTTCGCTGCAGATACTTGAATGAGTTGGAGCCTATGTGAGTAAATTGTGGCGCATATGCCCTTCTGCTGAGCTCAAGCACCACCAAGTTAGCAGTATAGCCAACCGCGTTTGGAAGTGCTGCCAATATCAGACGCGAAGTATAATGTGCAACGGAGCCATTGGTCTGTCTGTCAACAGTTGCTGAAGGAAAGATCGTAGACCTCATTAAGGGAAGCAAGGCTTGAGCTTCGCCGCCCAACAATGGATCAAGAAAAGGCTGTGATCTTGCTTCCGCGTCCTCAGATGTGGTCGTCGAGCGCCCCGGATGTATCAGTCATTACCCAGCGGCTTCGGTAAACTTATGCGGGAAGGCAACACCATGCTATATGTACACGATACAGATTTCTTTGAGCTTGGCAGCTGCAACAGAGTACGTGTTTTAAGCATAATAGTATTACACCTGTTTTACAAGAGTAAGTCGCAACAACGGAAATGCTTAAAGGCATGGTAATTTGCCGTCAACGCGGCTTATGTTTGTCGAGAATGTCTTTGAAGAATGTTCTGCCCAAAATCGTCTGCTACCTGTTCAGCAGAGGCGAATTGCGGATTAGACATTGCCAAGTCCAAGTCCAGCATAAACGTCGCCCTAATATCCCCAGGTAGAGTATCAAGGTCGCTGTTATTGCCAACTTCGGCCAAAATTTGAAGAGCTGTAGAACTTGATATGTCACCCTTTCGCAGCGCCAATGATAAAAGGGCCGTGGAAAGGGTTTTAGTGACCCGCCAGGAGGGTTGAAGTATTTCATAGCCGTATACACAGAGTAAGAAGTAGAAGAACCAAGACTCGTCTTTTCGGTTATTGAGAATTCCATTCGCAAGACAAGTCAGAGCAACATGCCATAAAATCGAGTAAGATGCTGAATCAAAGTGAAGACGAAAATTGACAACAAGATGTTTTAACTGGTTGGCTGACGCGGCGCAAACTTCGTCTGGAGAACTATCGAGGCTCGTAAAGGTCCGAAGACGCTGACTATGCAACGGGCCTGAAGAAGAATGCCGGAATATGTCAAGGATAGCAGCATGGAGCCATATACTGAATGAAGAGTTAGAACGAGCTCATGCAAGCCTTTTATGACCGTCGGGATGCTGCTCCTTACTGCAGTGCTTGAACGTAGTGAGGGTGGCGTTCGTTCTGTGAAAAGGTTGTCGGTAGACGGTTACTCCACGCAAGCAGCTCACGAAACTTGTATTCTGCGAACCGTAAAGTCCGTTGCTCAGTCAGGAGTGACCCACTGTGTTTGGTATACATGAGAGCAACCTCGTGCATGATGGTCCAAAACTCACACAGGTGACAGAATACACCGCCCATGTAAGCCAATTCTGCGTCGTCTTCTGATGCACAGAGGTGTCTCAAGCTAGTGGTATCATTTCTTCTTGTTCCCGGAGCAGGAACACGCGGCGGTTGCTTCGGGCATTTCAGACCAGGTTGACGGTGGAACAGCGACATGTGTCTATACAAATGGGTCAGGAGCAGAAGATAGAGGCATCAAAAGCGCTGATACTTTGAGGGAAAGCTTACGTGATCCAGTTAAAGGTGCCCCACGCGGCGTATTGGTATGCACTTGTTGCATGGGCCGACAACCACCTAATTTTGCCGGTTGCAGGGTCAACTTCGAGCTCGAAAAGACGCATACGCTCAGCCATATTCGACGCAGCTTCAATGTAATAAAGGACAGAATGATCTCTGCCTTGACCCAAGTATCCCAGGCTTAGGAACAACGCCGCGGCTATATTGAGTAGTGAGTCAACCTCGCATTGGTCTGCCCAATGTTTCTCCGCTTCGTTGCAAAACTGGATAGAGAGGGCTGCACTGTCGGGATCCTGTACACTATTCATTTGCTATGCGTCAAGTCAGTCAGGAATAGCCATCAAATCGCCACGAATATAATAACTAACACAAGCCCAATAAAGAAGGGCATTGACCAAGATCAAAGAGCAGTATTCAGTTTTACCCGTGAGAAGATCAGACACAAATGCGCTGGGTTGGAAGAATCCTAAAAGAGGATGGTCTGTTTCAAGATATAAAGATATGGCACGAGAAGCGACATCATTACTGATGGGACTTTGCTCCAAGCAGTAATATCTAGCTTTTCAAGCCTACCATCACAAAGAGGACGTGATTTATCGGCCGTTGTTTCGTCTTGATCTCGTTCGGAAGACAGATCTGCTCCGCCCCGGTCTGGATGCACCAATTGCTGGTAAACCTCTTTTTGTATGCTGGACACCTCGAGAGAATGGCGGGGTGAATATGCATTTGAATTTTGGGGTCCGAACTCAGTAGCTAGGAATGAATTCATGTTTGCTGTACTGGTCAGGGCGTAATCGGGCAGCTCTATCTGCGAATCGTCATTGCCCCTCAGCGTCTTTAAAATTATGGATGTATCAACCTCTTTCTTGAGGTCCCGTAGTTGTTGGAAAGCGACTTCCTTAGAAGCAGCGTTTAAGAGCCGTATGACCTCCAGTAAGACTGATTGTGACTCGTGCGACAAAGTTGACTCATCTCTGTACGTGCAATCGTCCACATTACCTTCACACAAGCTGAACAAACTGGACGTCGTCCGTCGCACTGTAATTCAACGTTAGTATTCTCATTCTTGAGATAATCTTGGAATGGCCCTTTGTCTGCGTACCCGAATTTTCTTGCGGCGACATGAATTACAGGCTATTGACACCGTAACACGACGTCGCTTGGGTTCCAGAGGAGGTGCATGTCCCGACTCGCGGACACTCTCGACGTCACGTGGGCGAATTGTCACATATGGCTGCATGATGCTACAATAATCAACAGCTTGCAGGCTTGTTGCGTATTCGTAGGTATGTCGTAGGTTATCCGACTGACGAGGTGGCTGTCAGGTTTCTCGGTCGAACTTGGATGGTGAAGCTGCTCCCCCGTTTCTCTTTAGCAGCCAATGACAGCCCGCGGAGGAAGCCCAGTTGTGCGCTGTGCCAGCGGATGGGCTCCATCGAGCGACTTGAGTCGTGCGGCAAAACGGCGTCGCTGGGCATCAAGAAGCAGTCCTGCAGGAGGAATACCGCTCTCACGGTGCAGCACGGGGATGGGGGTGGTTTTCCAAACCGGCAGGATGGCACGGATGCCGCAGCGGATGGCAGCGTCAATTCTCTTGGCAAGATGCTGGATTCTAGGTTTGCATTGTCTGTTGCCGCGCCAGGCTCTATGCCGCTGGGTTCCTGGGTACCAGACCTCCGCGCCGAAAAGCAGGACCGGCTCGACGCATGCCCTCACGGCCTTTCTTACGGCGGCCGGGAACGGGCCGTGCTGTGTGTTGCAGAGGCTACGGAGGTGGCCTGCCACCTTCCTTGCCTTGGCGGCCCATTTCTCGACATGCGTCCGGAAGACCAGCTTTCGGTCGAGCCATATGCCTAGCCAACGCATCGAGTCTCCGGGGATCCTCGGTACGCCATCATGTAGAACCGGTGGATTGTCCGAATCCTTCCTAGGTGAGAAGTGCATCACTTCAGTCTTTTCTGGGTCGAATACGATGGCGTGGTCTCTGCCCCATTCGCTGAGTTGCTGGATGTCTGCCGAGGCTGATGCTGCGGTCTCATCAAGGCTATAGCCAGTGTGCAGGCTCGCCGTGTCGTCGGCGTACCCGAAGCGTCCAACGTGGTGTCCCAGGCGGTAAATGGGCTCCGTGTATAGAAGGAAGAGGATTGGAGAGATTGGGGATCCCTGTGCGAGTCCACAATGGAGCGGGGTGCTCTCGGTGATTATGTCTTGGTATCTGATGCTAGCCATCCTATCTTTCATGAAGGAGGCTACCCATTTCGTAAGCTGCAGCGGCCAGCCTTGCTGCCGGAGGCGGAGGATGAGCCTGTTCCTCATGACTGTGTCAAAGGCACCTTGTATATCCATCGTGACTAACGTAGCGACGAGACCGCTGGCAAAGGCAGCCTCGACGTCGTGTACGAGTGCGGCTACGAGGTCTGTTGCAGACCTCTTGGGCAACGCACCAGCCTGTTGGTGGTGTAGAATGCCGAAGTGAACTGCCGCCCATGCGATTCTGCGGGCGATCAGTCTTTCAAGCCCTTTGCCTAAGCAGGAGAGGAGCGAGATAGGCCTCCAGGCTCGCGGAGACGTCAGGTCTCTCTTGCCTGGCTTGGTGATCATGACGACGTCGGCCGTCTTGAAGGCTTGAGGGTGGTGGCCCAGAGTGAGGCAGCCCTCGAAAAGCTGTTGTACCAGCTTCCCAATGCTTGGCCAAGCGAGTCGCAGGAGGTCCACCGTTATGTTGTCAGAGCCGGGAGATGTCTTTCCGGAGCACGTTGTGGCCACACGTGCTTCTTCCAAGGTGACCTGCGCGGAGAATGGAATTAATCTCGAAGGATTTACAGTGATCCAAGGGTCATCTATGTCGTCTCCTGCTGTTCGCCGCTCCAGAGTAGCTCGGCGGAGAGCATTGGCTTTGTCTGTTTGTGTCTCGTAGACCTCGGCGCCTATCTGCAGCGGTGGCGGCTGGAATGAGCCTGGGGCCTTGACCCAGCGTGCAATCTTGTAAATATCAGCGTTGCTAGTGGCGCTATCAATTCTGTTGCACCAAAAGAGTTTCTTTGATCTGCGGATAACTCGACGGAACTCTCTCCTCACAAGCTGGATCTCGCGGCCATACCCAAGAGGGTATATACGACGAAGTGCTCTGTATTCTACCGCGGCCATGGCGCAATCGTCGTTCCACCATGGAGCGGCTCGACCCTTCTTTCTTGCTACATGACCGGCGCGTTCGGCTGCTGATCGAAGGAGGTCGACTAGCGACGTCGCAAGTGCATCAAGTCCAAGCGTGCTGTTCGTGCAAGCTCTAATAAAGGGTGCTTTTGTATGAATGATCTCGGTAAAGCGTTCAATCTCGTCATCGTATGTGACGCGGATTCTACCGGGGGTGGATGCTGTGCTGCGGGAGTTTGGTACGGTGAGGCTGAGTGTGAAGTGATCAGAGCTTGTGGCAAGATGATCCTCCACGGCCGCCTCGGCCAGGGGAACGTTGGAGAAGGCTAGGTCGATGGTGTTGCCGTGTTGATTAGTTGGTTCGTTGGGAGCATTGAGGAGGGCTAGACCATTGTCCAATGCCCACTGGGCGAGTGCCTCGCCGTCATTCTGTGCATGTCCCGACTGCCAAGAGTGGTGTCGAGCGTTGAAATCGCCTGCGATGACGCATCTTCCTGGTATGGGCCAGTCGAAAAGTGTTTGCAAGATTTCAGGTCGTAGTGGGTCACGGTAGACGTTGACTACTGTGATGCCATTGAGTTGTATCCACAGCAGGTCTCGTGAAGATTTTGGTCTGATTTGGTCTGATTTGGTCTGCTTGAAGCCAGTGACAGCGCCGCAGGTAGGTCATGGTCCGCGGCCGTGTGCCGTTGTCCTCCCAGCTGTCGACTGGTGAGAAGGTGTCAAAGGCTGGGTGAGTCTTTGTAAGGCACTTGCCATCTTTCACGCCGGTCCAAGGTTCTTGAAGTAGGATTACATCGTAATGTTCTGCGTTGGCAAGAGCGAGAGCACAGTCGTGTGACGGGCCGCTCTTGCCTACGTTGGCCTGGAAGATACGCAGGCTGTTGTCGCGTCGGTTAGATTTCTGTCGTCTATTCATAGACGTCGTCTGGATGACTCAAGACGTCTCTTCTTGGGAGACTGCGGAGGGTTCGTGGAGGGACTGGTGTCCATGGTCGCTTCAGTTGTCTCGCTATCGGGAGTGGTAGCCACCCTGATACATGGTGATGACACTGCAGGCTGAGGGCTTGAGGAAGGCGCTTCCCTCGTAATGGCGGTCTCCAGATTGTGTTGGCGAAAGAGCTTCGCTCCTGCCTGCCGAACTGCAGCTCGCTGGGCTTGGGTGAGCCTACAGATCTCTCCGTGTACTCTCTTTGGACGGGCCGGGCAGACTGGGAAGTCAGCAGCGTGTGGCGCCATACAATTGACACATTGTTCGGCGGCAGAACAGGTTTCATGAGAATGGCCCGTCTTGCCGCAGCGCTTGCAGTGAGCTTGGCGATTGCAGCCGTATTTGGAGTGATAGTCCCAGCAAGTTTCACATTGTCTGGGTAGAGGAGTCTTGGTCATGAGCCGCGCCAGTCTGCTAGAGCCGAACAACCGCCAGCGTCCTGGCGTGGGTTCCAGGAAGGAGATGAGAAGGGTCTTGGTGGGCAGATCTTCAGAGTCAATCGCGCTACCTTGGAGGTCAAAGAGCCGTTTAGGGCACTCGTCAACGGGTATATAGGTGTACCATTTCTGGCTAACCTCCGCTTTCGGCGCCCCAAGATCCTCAAGCCACTCAGACTGTCTGCTGATAACGAGGTTGCGAGTCGTGAGGTCGGCCGCCCGCACGGCCCACCCGGTTTTCGTTCGGGATGCTTGTGGTACTTTGATGTATTCACAACGTCATGGTATCATTCATCGTATCGTAACTGCTTGTCTACTTCTACCTCTTGCCTTTACGCTTCTTCGTTGTCCCTGCATTTGTAAATGATGTGCTCGGGGTAGCAATTTCTTGTTTGCCAATGCTCGACTGACTGTCTTGTTCAGAAAGAGAGAATGAATCAGTATGTGATAAATGGTGGTTTTGTAAGTCTTGCGATAATTCGGTAGACGACAACGGCGGGACATCAAAATCCAAATCCGACGGCAGCTGGTCGATGGCTGAGCATATTCGCTTGGAATGGGATGGTAACCATAGGTCGTACACGTTCCTCGTAAAACGATATGCTGTCCATTTTTCTTTACCGTCCAGCGCAGTAAAAGAAAACTCGTGTATTGGATGACGGTAGTACTTAGTGTCCTTCCCATCAATAACAGGATAGTGACCGTAAATTCGCACCAATCGATGATCATGTGAAATAGAGAAGGCCAAGATCTGTCGGTGGACCTCGTTTTCACGTTTCACGGCACGAAAGAGCTCAACAACACCGCGCACTGCAAGTGTCATGCTGTGGGCGTTCTGCCGATCGGCCACATCTAGCGCAGCAGCACCGCATTTCACCTCGCATGTGAGAAAGGGGAAGTACATGTAGTATGTTCCCATGAAGAACGATTGGTCTCCGCTGATGAAGTCGCCTATAAATGGTGCCAGCTTGGCCAGCTGGTCGTCGCTAAATGCTTCTCGCCTGAATCCTACAGAATAGTCGGGTTGCGGGCGAGTCCCAGTCAACGAAATTGAGTTGTCCCAGCCCTCATTCACACTCTCGGTGAAATTCTTGAGGCTCTTGGAGCGGAGCGCAAGTGTCTCCGCTGAAGGGACAATGAGTCGAGAAAAGTCCTGAGCAACCCGGGCCTCGTTTCTCCCATGCAAATTGCGACATGCATCCGCAAAGACACTGTCACTAAAGATTGTGTGTTGAGGAACTGATTGATCGCTATCAAGGAGGCTCTGAACCAGGCGTTTGCTTGAATCAGTGATGCCTAGATTAGAAGCATCCATATATGAGTGCTTCGTCTGGAGCAATAGCTCGTAACGAGGGTCCCTATACGGTGCACTCTTCTCCTCTCTCGGTTTTTGATCACTTGGTGTTGTGGATGTACCGGAGTTTGAGCGTTTGCGGCTAAGCGACGACACAGACTTCTTCCGTGCTAATAAATGCTCCATTTCAAGTTCAAAGTACTCCGTTGGCCAGTGGCCTTCAGTTGTCCAATATTCGATCGGATCGATTGGCTTGCCCGCTTCACTATGACTGTCTGCGGATCCGCCAAGTATTTCTTTCACGCGAGAGAGTCTGGAACATCGTCGCAGGCGTTTGTGACTGGAGTCTGGTACTTGTTCGAGATCGTCGAGAGGTCGCTTTTTAACTCGGCTGATTGTTGTGTCTACCTTCTGAAACGGTTAATACAGCGGTCAATAGATAGCAAGCAACGCAAAGTTGTAAGTCTTCATCTATTACCTTCGTAGTGTGTGATGGATGCGCTTGGCTCACGTCAATTCGCTTTGGGGTCAGCTGTCGTAACGTTGCGACTTGACGAGAGTATCTGCCCTTTTGAATACCCTGAGGTCGCTTTCCTATTTCTAGTCAGTAGATACGACTCTCGGCGCCTCATGAAACACATACCTTGGCTTTTGGGAGGGGATAATGCGCGACCTCTCTGGGCGGCCAACTGCGCTCGAGTGCGAGCCATGGCGACGAGAAGCACGATAGGAGCATGTTGTGGTTTACATAAAAGCTGCTCCACGCGATGGTCTATTACGTGCAGGGTTACATGTAGCGCGATTGTCTGCCAACCAGTTAGCGCTCGGCGTGAGAGCAGCGGGGTAAACAGGGATAGCACACCAACGAGCAGCTGTAAGGCTTTGGTCGACATGACGAATCACATCCAGGCTTCCGGTAGTCACCAACCTGCGAAATGAGTCATAAGGTTTAAACGAGGATATCCTATCAATTTTCTCAGCGCTTAATTAGCCACAGAATTTCGGACAGCAGGTTTCGGACAGCAGACGACGTTAGACAGCTGGAGGCTACTAGCCGTTCCCGTGGGCTACACATACTGTGGCGCTTGAGGGTTATGTCGTGCCAGACAGCTGCACCCCGATAGCCTGGCCATGGCCATCCCACAGAAGTGGCCAGCCACGTGCGGACAGATACCCTCAAGCTGCTGTATGATAATTTGGGGCATTAGTTATATTGATGGGTCTTCTTCTCTATTATTTCTGCTTAAAGTGTCCCTAGTAATATTACCTCTTATTTCTTTATGTAACGTAATTAAGTTTACTTTTCTTTTTAATAAATTAAGAGAGAGAAAAATTAATATTAACCTTAATATTATATTAAGCTCTCTTTTAGAATCTATTATATATTACTTTTTTTAAGCTTTATTTATTTTAAAATTTCTCTTAAATTAAATTATTTACGTAAAATAATCGCTTACTAGTAGTTCGCGACGCTTTCTAGTAGTTGCGATGGAATCGGACTGCGAAAAATGAGGAATCTTGGCAGCGAAAACCCTTTTGAACTTGAGCTCCTCCACCTTCATAACGGATGCAAAACTTCCGCCGGAGGCATAAAAATCTTCCGTCCGCTTATATACCCTGCCTCCTGCCTCTCCCCCCCCCCCCCCCCCCCCCTTCCCC